TTTTGTTCTTCAGTCTAGTTGTGGAGGATGTTGCTTCACTGGACCAAGTTGGCACCACCATTGCGCTCTTCCCTGGCAAGGCAGATCAGTCGCCGGCTTCTGGACGGCCGCTCACTGCAGCTGCTGGCTACACACAGTAGCCCATGGCAACCCACTGCAGCAGGGGCTGCAGCCTACGCCGTCGCCGGCGACTCACGGTAGCCCAGCTCCATGTTGAGCTGTTGTTCAGCATCTTAGCTGTAGAGGGCAGTGTCACTGGCCCTCACAGGTGGGATCCGAACCGGGGTCCTCTGGCGTCCCAAGCCAGTTTTTAACCAACGCGCCACTCGGGCGGCCCTCACTTTCTTTTTTATAATATGTTTTTGTACAGTAGCTCCCCCATCCACGGGGAATACGTTCCAAGGCCCCCAGTGGATGCCTGAAACTACAGATGGTACAGAACCCTATATATACTATGTTTTTCCTATACATACATACGTATATACATACATACATACATACATACATACATACATACATACATACATATGTATCTATGATAAAGTTTAATTTATAAGTTAGGCATGGTAAGATATTAACAACCATTACAAATAAAGGAACAATTATAACAATATACTGTGATAAAAGTTATATGAATGTGGTCTCTCAAAATACCTGGACTTTTCCATTTAATGTTTTCGAACTGTGGTTGGCAATGGATAGCTGAAACTGCAGAAAGTGAAACAGCAGATAAGGGGGGTACTGTTGTATGTAGCTTATCTTCTCTGGCGGACTGCAAACATGGTAGAGGCAGGATCCAAGTCTGGTTCAGTTTGCTGGCTTCCAGGAGCACTTCCATATGTTACCTTGTACATACTAAGCACTGAAATAACTAGAATGACTGGCAGATCAGATAAGTGCTTCAGAAAGATAATAGTGGTGAAGGAAAGATTGAGATGGAGAGGCTGAAAGGCAGGGAACCCAGTTAAGAGACTATTGTGATCCAGGCTAGAGGTGGTGAGGGCTCAGCAAGTGATAAGAGGGATAAAATGGAGGCAGTGAATTGTTGAGTTTCTGAGAACCATATGATTACACCTCTGGTCCAAAAATTGGAAACCAAATGCAAAGGAAAAGGGTTTCTGTCATATTTTGAGTTCTCTTTACTGAGTTGCAGTTTATTCTGCTGGTCCAGGTCTAATGTATAGTTTTATCTTTTGGGTAATAGTATTAGATTGCTTTTCTTCTATAGATAGTAATTGTACCTGTAGACACTTGAGATGTGTTGATTAACTGGAAGCTCTTTTTCAAACAGAAAAATGAAAACCGATTCTATTTGAAGGAAGTGAATATCAGCATGTATTTGGTTAATGGCTCTGGTAAGCAAAGCACTGGCCTTGGGGAAAAGAGTGTGGGTTACACTGAAGGAGCAGAAACCATAGTTGTTTTGTTACCAAATAGTGCCTTATTTAATGGGACAGAAGATTTCATGTGAAAATTGTGCCTTGACCACAACTTAAAAATCAGTAAGTTAGAACTATAGCATTCTATCTTTTGCAGTATCCCGTATTTTCAAAGCATGATGGATAATAGTTAAGAGTGTGACTGAATTTTAGACTATAGAAACATCTATAGAAAGACAGGGAACAGTGACAGATGTTTACTAGAATTAGTGGGGTGATCACATTGTAAGGTATCAAAATGTCAAATCACTATATTGTACACCTGAAACTAATATAAATAATTGTATACCAACTATACTTAATTTTTTTCAAAAAAAAGCTAGGGAACCCAATGATTGGAAGAATTAGTTTTTGTAGGTAGACCCTGTACCCCAAGCTCCCATACGTCACTGAAAAATCCTGAAGACTGCCCTACTTTTTATGTTGATAGGATATGAAATTACTAACATATTTTTTCTTTCAAGTTTTCAGCATTGGAAATAACAATCTTACCTACTGGGATGCCCCCCTGGGAAGTTCTTATATGTGCAACAGAGAGCAGACGGTTTCAGTGTCTGGAGCATTTCAGATAAATACCTTTGATCTAAGGGTTCAGCCTTTCAGTGTGGTAGAAGGAAAGTATTCTACAGGTAAGAATGAAGCAAGTTTTATTAATAATTTATGTTCTTATGTTGACTTTTCCTTTGAGTCTTGGAAATTTAAGCATTGAAGCAAATGTGAATTCACCACTCGACTCTGTTGTGGAGTTCTCATAGCCTTGAGCAAGTGGTATCACTATATTTGGCTCATCATTTTGCTCAAGCTAGATTTTTTTGTGATCTGAAAACCATTTGCAACGAAGTTCGTAAAGCTAAAAACTGATAGAAGCTTTTTTCCCCCAATAGAAGCTTTAAGTGAGCTTTACTTAATGTAGGAACACTCTCCCTAGGTTTTCGTTTGTGGGAAGGTTGGCACTTATTAGGAGCAGCAGCTTTGGGCATCTTGCATCTGCCTTCTTTGGGCCATCTTCTCACTGGAGACATTTTCATACTCGAATAAAAGCATTTTGGTCTTATTTTGTTGAGACAAAAGATTGCAGTAGCAAAGCCTCAAATACCGTGAACTATGTTTTGGCCAGCCAGAATGGTTTGGAGAGTTTTCAAAGCATGCGAATGAGGCTTTTTGAAGATCTACTCAGGCCTCATGGTAGTGTTTATCAGATTTTTAATAAAAACTTTGTGAAGGGCTCATTACAGTGTGTTTATACAAATATGAAAGATGCATTTGAAATTGCAGTGTTAAAATTTACATGAAGAAAAAAGTGCATACACTTTCTTAAGTGACTTATCCTTTTAAACGGATTCCTTAGAATTGGGGGTTTGTGGATTGCAGCTCTGCTGAGCGCAGCTATTCCAGACATCTACAGCGTTTTTAACAACGAATTCCATGGTTTCGAAGGAAATGTGGAATCTGTGTTTAAAAGTGAATGTGCTGTGAGCCACTGAGCTACTTTTGCAGTAGTGCTGAATACTTGGCCTGCCTTGGCTAGGCCAAAATGGTAGGTTCTTCACCCTACCATTCATGTGACTAGAGAGGTTAATCACACTTTAATTTTTTTTTTCAAGAATCCGTTTTCTCTTTTGTTTGTTTTTCTTTTTACTTCAATTATTTTGATCCTTCAATACTTTTATTTTTGAGTCTTTATCTAGCTCCCCTACATTATTACCCTAACTTTAGGTCCAGGTTTGTGTTTAAAATGTAAAGTCATTTGCAGTGTAATATCAGCTCAAGCCTGTTTATCTAGTCATCTGTAATAGAGGTGAGCTCTGTCCTTTGTCTAATTTGAAACTGTGTTTTTTATGTTCATAGAATTAAAAATGTCACCCAAAGGAACATACAACATTTAATATTGATAATAAATGCATGATCGATTTGTGGAGATAGGTTCTTGACTGTGGGTATCTATAAATACAACACATTGGTAATACTTGAGGAGGAGGAAATAGACTTGCAATAAAGTAAAAAGAGTGTTGATTGGATTTTACTGGATCAAACTATTCCCTAGACATAGAATAATAGCCTGTGGGCTTCCAGTCCTGACCAGATTGATAAATGTAATAAACACACACAAATTAGTAAGAGGTCCCAGTTTCTTGACTTTGTAGCCACTAAAATCGTGTACTCTAAGTCAGGGATCTGCATACTTTTTCTGTAAAGGCCCAGACAGTAAGTTAGGTTTGAAGACCACATGGCCTCTGCCACAACTATTCAACTCTGCTATTATAGCATGAAAACAGCCATAGGCAATAAACAAATGAATGGCTATGTTCCAATAAAACTTTATTTGTGAATAGTGAAATTTGAATTTCTTATAATTCTCATGTCTCACAAAATATCCTTCTTTTGTTTTTTTTCCAACCATTGAAAAATTTTCAAAAGCCGTTTTTAGCTCTTGGGCCAGATTTGGCCCACAGGCTATATATAACTTGCCCATCTCTGTTCTAAAGGATTTCAGAGCAAGCCTGTTCATTCTCATCTCACGATTAAACCTTCCTGATCTGGTCCCAGTCTCCCAAAAAACATTCCCTCTACCACTAAGAGGCTAATTTGGTTATGTGAAATGGACTGTGTTAGTTGTCTTCATTCTTGATAAAGTAATACTCCTATTTTGTAAAGGACTTGGACATGTATGTGTTTACTCATAGATATGAGTATATATGTATTCATATATATGAATATCTATATATACACACATACACAAATGGAAGGACAAATATGTTTTAGGATTTTAATTCTAGAACAATCCATAATTTTCTGTAGCTTTGTCATTAAAATATACATATCTTAATTACTTAAAGTTAAAGTTATAAGAGCATTTCTGACTTTTGAATCAACATCTTTTACTGTTGGACATTCTTTTTTGATTATACTCATTATTTGTTACACAATTTTTCTCACCTACAGCCCAGGAGTGTTCGCTGGATGATGACACCATTCTAATACCAATTATAGTTGGTGCTGGTCTTTCAGGCTTGATTATCGTTATAGTGATTGCTTACCTAATTGGCAGAAGAAAAAGTTATGCTGGATATCAGACTCTGTAACACTAATCCATATGTTATCTCTGTTACAAAATTAATAAGCAAGTACAAGTTCCAACATGCAATACTGTTCAATTTAAGGCATATTTAGTTGTAGTTCTGATCTTAGAACCGGTAATATGGGGGATTTCATATTTAAATAAGTACAAACACCCCCAAAACTATAAATTACAAATTAGTCACATGATTTTGATTTTCCTAACCAAGGGATTTAAAACTGTTATTTCTACAGCAAAAGGCATGTGCAAAATCACCTGGATTATAGGTTCTATTTTATTGTCTTGAATTAGTATTTCATTGTTTTCTTTAGATATTCTGACTAGAAATATACAGTTTAGGAAAAACAGTTTTAAAAAGAGATTTTTTTCCTGCATATAGTCAAATTGAGACAACACATTCTACAGTGGATTTGTACTTGCTCCTTTTGCATTTTTTTCTGTGATTTTGTTTGCAGGTTAACTTAGTTGCTTTGACATTGCTGCATATTTGACCTATGAGAGATATGCCAGTAGATATGAACAGAGTCTAGTATTATTATGTTCTTAGCAATGAATGCTGTTTGAATACATTTTTATTTAATGTGACTATAATGACAAAAGATATAAAAGCTTTTTAAATTTTAGAATAAGTGTTAAGGTTATTGTTTAATCTTTTTTTAAAGACCTGGACATTTTAATCTTCTAAATTGCAAGATACAAGACTATTCCAATTGGGCATTTCAATCCATTTTCTAGGTGCTTTAGACATAATTGCTAGGCAGTGCCAATTTTAGACATTAGTCCTTTGTACTTGTAAATTGGCCTGTACATGCAGTGCTAAATTTAATGTAGGCTTGTCTTTAGCCTCCCAGTATCCTTGGTGGTGGTACTGTATTTTATTCCTTTCTTGTCTTTTCTTTTCCTTGAAGAAGAAATGCCAGTGTGTCCTAGAACCTAGATAAAGAAGTGCTCTTAGACACTTACAAAGTAACTCGCATCTAACACAAAAGTTTTCGTCTTCTCTTAGTCCATTAAAAAGTTGTTCTTTGTTCCCAGTTTAAATTGATTGCTACAACATTTACTAATTTGCCTCTCCCATTTAAATGGTTTTGTGCTAATCAAAACTTAGATTATTATTGTTCATTATGGTAGAATCATTATTAATTCATGTATTTTGTGTTCAGTTTTGTCATCTGGGGAGATGTGCCAATTGTCCATTTGCCTTGCACCACCTAATGTTTGTATGAGAAAGCAGAACATTTCAACTTGATAGTTAACACATCGAGTATTTCTTGCTGTTTCTAGATTTTTTTTTAAATTGGAATGGCTGAGCAAATATTTAAAATTTGTTAATATACAGTCATACGTCAAAGGTTCCTGAGTTTTTTGAGTGGGAGATTATGTGTCCCCTAATTCACTATAAAATGAGATATCTGTGTTTGAAGATATTATTGATGTTGAATAAATTTGGTAATCTAGGTGCACACACACACATACATACACACATGAGCAATTGCATGTTAAGCATATGTATGTCTATAACTATCTTTCGAGTTATAGTGGACTGCTAAATATTTTCTCCCACTTAAATTTGCTCTCTGTTTAGGATAGCCTGAAAGTCTTATTGGCTCAGAATCAGATTCTTTTTTTTTTTTTTTATTGGGGAATTGCAGGGAGGGGAACAGTGCTGGGGAACTGGAGGAAGGGGAACAGACAAGCTGCCGTCCCCTTGCTCTTCAATCTAGTTGTGGAGGACGCTGCCCCACTGGCCCAAGCTGGCACCATCATTGCGCTCCTCTCTGGCGAGGAAGATCAGTCGCCGGCCTCTGGACGGCCGCTCACAGCGGCCGCCGGCCGCTCACGCTGGCCGAGAATCAGATTCTTCACCAGCCTCTCTCTTAAAGCTACATTGAGCTGTATTGCCAGCTTAAGGCACTTTTGAAAGACTAAATATAAATCTGATTTTTAAAAATTATTTTTATTTAAATAGTGTCATAGTGTAAGATTGTTAACCTTAGAAGAATGGGTAATGCTTATAAGAATGTAGGCCTTAGATATTTCTCATGAGTCAAAACAAAGCAGCTTAAAAAAAAATTGAATGCACAAGTCGACGGCACTGGCTTAACGCTATTAATGTTTCTACGGTTAGATTATATACCTGATTCATATTAAAATACCTCTAATAAGCACTGTTTTCTAGAAAATCTGACTTCATTGAATATTTCTGTATTTTACATGGGCCAGTTTATATGAGGTTATTTACATTATTATTTCCTATAGCCACATGTTCTTTGACCTTTCATAGTTTCATTTGCTATATTGAGTTTACACCTTGATGGCCTAATACTCTATACGGTTCTGGGTGTTCCTCCTGTTTTGTCATGTGTATATTAAGAAACTGGTCCATGTAAATACTTCTCATGTTTTTTTCCTCAAATGTTTAAACCACTAGTTGATGTATGGTATTTCTCTTTAGATATTTGCTTGTCCATTTGCTCAACATACTGCTTCTAAAACAAACAATAAAGATTATTTTATTTCTTAAGGAAATTTGCTCACATTTTTTCCCGTTGGTTAAAGTCAAGATTCTGTACACCACAGTAATGGCAATTTCTTCCAAAAGGAAAAACTTTTCAAACGCTAGAAGTAGAGCTAAATTATTTCCAAAATGTTCAGTTGTATTACTACTATTTGGAAGAGTAGGGTCCCATACATAGGTCTCTACTGATGCTGGGCTGGCTACAGAATAAGCATCACTTGGGAAGCTTGTTATAAAAATTCAGATCCCAGGCTCCATCCCTAGAGGATTTAATTTAGCAGGCCTGAGATGAGGCGAGTGCGCGCGCGCGCGCGTGCGTGCGTGTGTGTGTGTGTGTGTGTGTGTGTGTGTGTGTGTCTGTGTGTGTCTGTATGTGTAAGTTCCCCAGCTGAATATAGTAGCGAATTGGAGAACCAATGATCAAAAATATTTATAAAAGCTTCAGAGTACCTCATTGTGCACTTTTTCTACTCCTTAATTGAGGCTGATATTTAATATCTATACATAGCAGCTGTACGTTGCAGCCAAATAATCCAAGCTATTTATCTGAACCAAAATAGGATTGTGTGCAATCTCTCTCACTCTCTCTCTCAGATACCCTAAAATATTTAGTATATCACATGCAAAATATTTAGCAATCTGGCTAGTAAATTTCCTCTGGATTACCCAGTTAAGCCATGTGACTGCCATTAATCATCACAGCTCTCACCTCTGCTACTAGCTGCCATGTGACTTGGGCCAAGCTCCTTAGCCTCTGTGGTCTCAGTTTCTTTTAGGGGCTGAGGGCTTTAAAATCCTGATGCTCTGTTTGAGTGGTAGTTTCCATTTCAGTGAAGATTTGAATAATTTTACAAGGATCTGATTAGAAGCTCCTTGTTAGGTATCAAGAACATAGTTTACATACAGTGTAAAAAGGCACCATCTGAAGTTTCTTTGTATTCTTCAGGAGGAATTCTTATAAGATTCCGATATTTTTTAAGATAACATTTCATCTCTGTTTAGGTAGATAATGTTAAATTGACTTGGGCTCATCTCTCTTCCACCCATCTCCTTATATTTTACCCTGGTAGCTAACTTTCTTCATCAATAATTGCCATATCTTGTTTTTGAAAATACTATAGACATGTTTGGGTGATACCGAGTAGCTTCAAGTATCTTTTCAGATTCATGCATACTTCAGTTTGATTTAAAAGGCATATAGCAAATAAGATGTGACAGAAGAATGTGATTCTTAACGCTGATTTTTCCAAAGAGAAATTTGATATAATTGGTTTTTTAAAAGGAGTTTTTGTTTTATGTTTTGTAATAAATGTGAATTTGAAAGATTTCTGAACTAACAAAATCGAAGATAATAGTGTTTTTAATCTACATAAAACTTTTTGTTGAAATTTCAATGGCTGTGAATTTTTTTATCTTTAAAAATCTTTACTGCTTCTGTGACTATTAAACTCTTTCATGAATAACACTTTTCCTTTCCCCAGAAATATTTTCAGTGCAGTTTCAACTGTACATTAGGCAAATAGATCAGATCAAAATGACTTATAGAATGAGATTTTTTTCTTCAGGATGTGATCCTATTAAAATTACTGCTTTACCAAAATTTCTTTCCATTACCTAAAGAATTCTTAAAGATTGAATTCATAAAATCAATAGTTATTATAAAGTAATACTTCACATGCTAATTGAGAACATTTTAAGTAAGTGACAACATCTAGAAAGATCCTTGTATTAGTGAAATTGCCTTTATGATCTATTCTGGAGCTATTTGTCTTACATGAAAGCCTTATTGGCAGTATTTATGAAAGTCACTTCAGTACTAGGTCAAATACCCAATTTTGGAAAGAAGACTGTATGAATCCATTGCCAGAATAAGAAATTAATCTAATGATTTTTTTAGAAAATCAAGTTATATTAAATTCAAGGTATAAAACTTTATGGTACATGTCACCTAATAGTTTATATGCTGAATGGTATTTTGGGAAATTGAAGGGGAGGAGCCAACTAGGTACTCTTAACACCATATATTCACAGGTCACATCTGGCAACCTCAGATAACTGGATTTTTAACAGAACCAAGAGGCAAATAAAAAGATCACTGAGCCGGGACTGCATCTTGTTCCCAGTTATTGCTCCAGGGGTTAGAATGGCACATTTCTTAAATGCAAACACAATCAGAAAAAATTCTTATTTTCGACACATTTTGAATAAGCTTAATTATCTGATTTATCCATACTTGATAGGTTGCAAACTAGGAGAACGAGGGCAGTAAGAGGCAAGGAAATGGAAAATAGTGAGAAGTGGTGATTCAGTATCCTAGCCTTCTTCACTCTGTAAACGGATCTCCATCTTCACCATTCATTCCTTCCTCCTCTCCAGTCTCAGTAGGGTTTCTTTTCCTAGTTAGTGCTCCTGGATTCCCTTTTCTCCTACCTCCTAGGAGACCTTGTACCATTCAGCATCTTCAATCTGTCAAATGCTAATGGCTCTTTCCCTCATCCTGTAAATACATTTAAGTCTCTTCCACCCTGAAGATAGCTTTTCTTGACCCTCTGTCCCCCTTGTAACTACCTCCCTATTGCCGTCTCTTCTAAACGTCTTCAAAATGAAGAGTATTGTATGTTCCCCATCCCAAGTTCTTGATCTTCTACTGGTCGCTTCCCATTCATTCCTAAGCCTACAGCAATTTGACTCATAACCCCCACCCTCCATATTGCTAGATCCAATGGGCATTTCTCAGACTTCTCTATTATTTTACAACATTCTCCCATGCTACCTAAACCTGTTCTTTCTTGGCTTCTGTGGCACCATTTTCTACCTGCCTTTTCTAATTTTTCCTTCTCCCTCAAGTGTTGGTGTTCCCAAGGATTTTGTCTTGGGTCCTCTTTTTATTACTTGCCCTCACTGAGAAATATATTTTTGTCCATGGTTTTAATTAGTACTTAGGTTCATCAACCACTGGGTTGGGTCACAGGTATCTTAAACTCAGCAGATCTCTGAATGTCCCCCTTTTCCACATATCCCCCTCCCCTCTCCCCCCACCTACACAAACAAAAAATAAACTCTCATACACAAATAACTACAAATAAAACTGAAATGCATATATTCTTCCTCCTATATTTCTATCATGATGAATGGCACTGGCATCTACAAAATCATTCAAGGATGGAATTGGAAACCATTCAGTTATCTCCTACCACACCCCCAACATCCATTTCGTCAGTTCTGCCTTCTAATTGGATCTCTAGTCTGTCCCTTATGCATCTGTACTTTGTTAACCCACTTCAGGACCATATTATTGGGCATGTGGACACTAGCAACACCACCAGTCTTGTATCTGCCATAACTTCTGAAACAAATACCCTGCTTAATATCCTGCTGCACTTTTTTTTTGGCTGAGCCATCCTGCCACCTGTTGGCAGCTCAGCGGCAGCTCAGCTCAGGCGCAGCACCACTGGCCCATGTGGGAATCAAACCGGCGGCCCTGCCGCTCAGGGCTCGTGCTCCCAAGCCAACTCCCAACCAATTGAGCCATTGGGCCGGCCTTTTTTTTTTGCCATTGGAATAAGGCCAAACTACCTCCAGCATACCTAGTACCCTTTTTCTGCCGCCTTTCCAGCCAAGAGTATCTCCTGATCCATTGTTCTAGCTATGCCAACCTACTTGCATTTCCCCTGAATTGCCATAGTTCCCTACCCTCCTTAGGTTTGTCTGTGCTGGTCCCTATATCTGGAATGCCCTTTTCCCATTACCTACATGGTTCATTCCTACTCATCCTTACAAACCCAGCTCCAGTGTCAGTTCTTTCAAAGTATGTCTTGTGTAACAAGACTGAGTGGAGTGTGCTTCTGAAACATGACACTTTGTGTGTTGCCTGTCCCTATTACAGCCCATTTTGAAATTACAGCCGCTGATTTCTTGGCTGACCCTCACACCAGACTGAACATCTTGAGACAAACACTTATGCCATCAGGGCCAGTTTTTATCTTTCCCAATTAGGAAGTGACCCTAGATTGCTATGCATTGAGTTCTTATTCTGCACTGTGTAGCTTATTTGGTTCATTTCATTAATACTTCACAATGTGCAGTGTTCCAGGCACTGTGCTGCTTCAACATCATAACAGTTTGCCTCTGGAAGCTCACAGCCTGATCATCAAGAAAAGGCTAATTCTATTTATCCATTATCTTCTGTTTAAGAAATCTGGGAAGTATGTGATCATTTTATATATCTTGTTTCCAAAATGACTGCATTTGGGGGGGTTACTTAAAAGTGTATGATTGAATTATTTGGGAAATCACTTTTGTGGAATATCTCATTTGCTGGTAATGAACGTCAATGGCTTGTTACCTTGTTGTAAAAAACCAAATATGTGTATTGGGAAGTGCTGCCATTTTAACTTAAAATTTACTGTTTTTGTTGCTGTTTCTGTTCTCAATTGTCCTTTCTCCACATCTAGCTCAAGACTGCAGTGCAGATGACGACAACTTCCTTGTGCCCATAGCGGTGGGAGCAGCCTTGGCAGGAGTACTTATTCTAGTGTTGCTGGCTTACTTTATTGGTCTCAAGCGCCATCATGCTGGATATGAGCAATTCTAGAACCTGCAATCTGATTGATTATATAAAAATACATGCACATAACAGGATTTTCTTGTCTCTTAGTTTTGAAACACTTTGCTCCTTAAGCTTGATGTTTGAAACTAATTCTTAAATCAGTCCCAGCATTTTGAGATAAATCTTTATTGATAAAAACTGTTCTCTTTGATCAGCTTAAAATAAAAAATGTTGTATTTACTGGTCCTGAAGACAAACTTGTTAAAAAGAACATTGGTGTGCAGTGTGTTAAGGTCTATCTTAAGAAGCCTTGGCCAAAATTGATCCTAACATAAGATGCCATAAACTTATTAACATGGCCATTATATGAATAAAATATGTAGCTGTCTCTTAATGGAATTAATAAATATTATTTCACTACCGGTGTTCTGTTTCAGTGTATAAGAACTATTCTGATTTAAACTCATCACAATGCCTTTGCATATAGTTCCAGTAGATAAATATTGATGAGGCATAAATGCCCATCAGATATGCTCAAACTTGGTTTTCAGTTGAATGTCCTCAGGACCATTAGCATTTTTTAGGTTATGTGACTTTTTGCTGATTGCTTTGAGTTAAGGATAAAGCCAGTATTTCAGGCTTCTGATTTTTTTCCCCTAGGTACATAACAGACCCAAAAGGCCACAACAGAACTTAAACTGGCTTCAGAATTTGCTTTTTAAAAATTGTTTCTTTTTCAGCAATAGAGACTGAAAAGATTCAAGCAGATTTAACCACTTGCCTTTTTTTTTCTTGTGTTATTCTCTTCTTTGGATGCCTAATTAACATTGAAAGTTAGAAATATTCTATGAGCCAATTAGGACACATTGTGTTGTATTTTTCTACCTCATCTTGTTGCTCTCTAGAGCATTAAAATATATTTAGTGTTGTCATCATACCAGTACTCATGAAATGTAAGCTAATAATCTCAGAAAGGATGCAGTGAAGCATAGCAAGTAGGCTCTTGCTTCTTCAAGACGGCCCCTGTGGGTCAGATCATAGATGAGGGGGTAGAGAGAAACTGTTGGCATTAAAATGAGCTAGATAATCAGTACCTATTGAAGCATACTCCTTGTTATATATGCAGCACAGTTATTGAATATATAGATAGATAAGGAAATTTTATCAGTAGACTTGAGAATACTTTTACATTGAAGTGATCATCTTATTAATTCATTCTATGTATATATATATATTGGCTTGTTCAGAATTTCTGTAGCTCACTGATTACAGTATTTTGGTATCCAGCTATCAGTCTCTGAAGGCTTTCAGTAAAATACACTAAAGCCTTTCAACAAAGGCTTCTGTAACTACTGAAATTCATATACTTAGAACAATAGCAACTGGCTTTCTTTTTTTATGAGTGACAAAAGTGCAAGAGGAAGAAAATATAAAATTAGAGGAAAACTACAAGTTATTACTTAACGGTAAACCACACAAAATATCACATTTTAATTGCATTAGACTTATACTGGAAAAGACCTTAAAGATTATTTTCTCTAACCCTATAACTTTACAGAAAGGGAAATGACTTTATCGAGGTTACATACCTAGTGGGCAACAAAACCATTATTAGCACTTTGATAAAAATTGTCCCAATGAAATCTAGTCACTCAATAGTAAAACTAGTTTAAACTTGAAGTTATGAGATCAGAATGTGGCACTTTGAGCTTCTGTACTAGGTACTTTCAATAAATAACACATGATCTCAATTTTAAGTATTTTTTAAAGTACTGAATATTGAGTTTTTCAATAACAATGTATTGAAACACTCCTATTGTGTTCTCTATTTGCTACTTGAAAACCTAAACCTTCTTGGATGGGATCACAAACATGGGAGGAGAATAGAAGGGAATGAACACTTGTTGACCACCTGATGTGTATCAGATGCTTTAGAAATACAATTGTATTTAATCCTCAAATATAGGTATTATCCCCCTTTTACAGATGAGGAAAGTGAAGCCCAGTTTAAATAACTTGACCAAGGTCCTTTAGCTAGTAACTGATGAAGTCAAGATGCAAACTCAGTTCTGTCTGAATCCAGAGTTAAAAATCCATGTTGCACACATTGCCTTCCTGGCGCTCCAGTGGAATGGACTGCAATGTATTGGATTCTGCCATTGTTCTTCCAGGGTACTGCTCAGCTAAAAATAATTATATATAACCCGACAGTTAACCTATTGTCTGTGTGAAAAAATTATACTGTATTTTCTTGATCTTAAGTTCTTTTCAATCAACTTAAATTTTATTATTCACACGGAATTCTTATTTGTTTTTTAAATTTATTTTTATTCGTTTCAGGTGTACAAAACAATGCAATAGTTATGCATTTCACCCCTCACAAAGTGATAACCCCCTACCCCAACCTATTGCCCCTCTGACATCGTGTATAGCTGTTACAATTCCATTGGCTCTATTCCCTATACCAGGGGTCGGCAATCTGTGGCTCACAAGCGGAAGATTGCCAACCCCTGCTCTATACTATACTCCATATCCTGTGACTATATATATATTAAATTATAGTTGACATATAATATTATTCAACTTCAGCTTCAGGTGTACAGTACAGTGGTCAAGCATCTACACCATCCATGAAGTGGTCTCCCTAATAAGACATGTGTCCATCTGACACCCTACAAAATATTTACAACATTATTGATTACATCCCCCAAACTGACTTTAATATCCCTGTGGCAATATTGTAGTTACCAATCTATGCTGTCTAATCTCTTCCCCTTCTCCCTCATCCCCACCCCCCTCCCATCTAGCAACCATCAGTTTTTCCTCTATATCTCTGAGACTATTTCTGTTTACTTTGCTCATTTATTCAGTTTATTTGTATTTTAACGATAGTTGTGGCAAGGGAGGAAGGGAGTGGGGAAATACGCCGGCAGTGGTCTTAAGTGTAGATGATAGCTCTTTCCCCCAGTGACATTTAAACATAAAAAAAAAATCCCCATATTAGGCAAGCACAATTCTGTGTTTTGGACATTTTCCCCTTCTTCCCTTAACTTCTGCTTTTCGTACAGAGGAATTTGGTGTGATTTGAGATGAAGTGATAATGAGAGCTATAAGAGGATCAGTTGTTTGGAATCTTTGGGTAGATATAGAGAAAATAAGACTAACCTATGTACACTTTCAAAATGCGTGTTTCTTGTTTGCTTGTTTCTGCTTAATTGCATTCCTTACTAATTTCCTGTCCTTGCTTTCTGTCTGTTCTTTTCTAACAGCTAAAGAATGTTCTGCTGACTCTGACCTCAACTTTCTTATTCCTGTTGCAGTGGGTGTGGCCTTGGGCTTCCTTATAATTGTTGTATTTATCTCTTATATGATTGGAAGAAGGAAAAGTCGTACTGGATATCAGTCTGTGTAGTCAATTACATTTAGTGCTTTTTGTTTTTTGCCATCAGGTTTCCATTGGCTGAAAGCCAGGAAACGCTGTACAATCGATTGTTTAAGATATGCAGACTAACCTCAGTGAATTGCTAGCTAACTTGGGCATGAGTAGCACTTATTTAAGAAAAAACATATTAGGACCAGTTTCTTTTGTTTTTCTATTTTCCTTCCTTTGTTAAAATGTAATTGAAAGAAAAATTGTGGCTTAGAATATGGGTTTTTTTTAGTAATAATTTTAAGCTTTTGAATCCAATTATGAAAGTATTTCTACTTGAAGTATAATTTCATATGTTGCAATTACTTGTGTTTTGCTACTTTGTTTGACATTATTTGCAAAATCAAAGGTATTATGGAGGCAAACATAAAATTTGGTTCATAATAAGACTGACTTTCCTAACCTCCTGATCAGGATTATTTAAATCTGTGTTTTTCTGTTAGTTAAAAAAAGAAAGAAAGAAATGGCTTCATGATACTGTGTGTAATAACAAAAGTCTGGCTGTTTGCTTCATTACTGTTAGTGGCTACTATATTTTAACAAGGATGTACTTTTTGTCCTTCTGGATTTTGGAATATTTTGATTATCTCAGACTTGACATTTATGCTAAAGAATAAAGTAAGATCTTCAGCTTTTTTTAAAGGTATTGATATAGAGTAGGTAGGTTATGGTTTTTTAGGGTTATAGTTTATAATGTGGTTTGTTTCTTTTTGCCCCTTAGAGCCTTAACTTGTTCAGAAAGTTAATTCATCCTCCATTAAAAAACTTCTAAACTTTGTGTACCTCCTGCACTCTTCTAGTCCCTATATGAATAAGTTCTAATTGATATTTTTAATGTATTGATTTCTTTCTTCTCAAAGCAGCAGGTGCTAACTCTAGAGGCTAGTGGGCCCTGAAGTGTCATTCGTCAGATGGCTGCCTAGCCAAAACTGGACTGTGATTATTCTGTAAATGTGTAGATCTCGATATAGACATATCCTGGTAGAGACCTCTAGTTTAGTGGCTCTGGCTTTTGGAGTAAGGTACTAGAGACCACTCATTCCAGTATCTGTTTGATTTGTTGGCTAGGCTGTTGAATTGCCCTTTGATTTGGAAGTACAGTGTTGTGTTTCTCTAGGGCCCAAATGGCTGCTTTGCACACTTGTTATTAGCATAAGGCAGATGTTTATTATATCAAGCAATTTTATCCCTGTATAACTAAAACCAAAAGTTTCCAGAGATCTGCCTTCACTTCAAAAATGTTCCATGGAATAAAAAATTAAGCTTAAAACTTAAGCAAAGTTAGTTTGTTATTAAATGCAAGGATCAAGTCCCCGTCTACCTCTCAACACAATGCAGATGTTCACCACTGTATTGTTGCCATCAACTGATGCCAGAACTCTTTGCAAATAACTGGAATTAGAACATTTTGTTAAAAAGAAGGAAAATTCAACTATCTTACCTCTATGTGCATCTCAAAAGCATATATTCCAAACAAGTAGAAAGTCAGATTGCTCAATTACTTCTCTCTTAGAGCTCTCTAGTTCTGACTTGCAGATTCAAGCTGTCTTCTATTTGCTAAGTATATAAGAAATGTTTTCTTTTTAAATGTTCTGTGAAAACAATTGCTTGTTTTTTATGTGGTCAAAATGATGGCACCATAAAGAACAGTGGTTTCATTTCAATAAATATTTTTGAGATGATTGTCTAGAAGCTAGATTATTTAAATCAGTTGTGACCTTGTTAAGTATATGAATTAGAAATTCAGATACATTAAAAATTATAGATTCAGGGGGCCGGCTGAGTGGCTCAGTTGGTTAAGAGCTCACTCAAGGGTTTGAGCTCTGAGCAACAGCAGTTCGAGTCCAGCCTGAGCTGAGCTGCCGCTGAGCTGCCAACAGGTGGAAGAATGGCTCAGCTAAAAAAAAACAAACAATAAACAAACAAAAATTATAGATTCATTTAAAAGTGTTCTACCTTTTAAGTATGAGACTAATATCACTAATTCTTC